ATATCCACCCACCTCCTCCCAGCTACCAACATCCCAGCTACCAATATATTTCATCTGGACTTCCTATCAGTCTGGTCCTGGCAGGAAACAGAAGACACTCAGCCAAGATTTTGAAGATAATTAAAAGAAGAAGGTTTTCAGAAGTGTGGACAAGGAAACTAACAAAACCCGTTGAGGCATCCAGGGACTAGCAAACCATTTTCACCCCTAAGACTGAAGGGACAAGGGGAAGAAATGTTTTATTGGAGCCTGGAGAGGATTGGACTGCCAGGAGTTCCCTGAGGAGCTGTCGGCCACTGTATCAGTCAGACGGTGCTGAGATGGAAGGAATTCCCTAATCTTTCTCCTCTTGTATTCACTAAACAGAACCTGAATCTGGAAGGCAAGTCTGAGTGACGTCATCCTTAGGGGTCAGTCTCTGGAGCACGCAGAAGGGCAGAGAATGGATTCGGGGGGGAGGGGAGAATTTACCCACATCCATGCTTGCCTTTCCCCAAAATACCTTCTACACCAGGGTCAGCAAACTTCTTCTGCAAAGGTCCAAATAGTAAATATTTTAGGCTTTGTAGGCCATCAGGTCTCTATCACCAACTACTCAACTCTGCAGTTGTAGCACAGAAAATATATAAACACATGATTGTGATTTTGTGTTCCAATAGAATTTTATTTATAACACTCAGATGATTTTCATGTAATTTTTATATCACAAAATATTGTTTTGATCTTTTTAAAAAACTATTTGAAACTGTAAAAACCACTCTCAGGCTGTACCAAAGAATGGCAGACTGGATTTGGCCACAGGCTGTAGATTGCATACATCTGTTCTACACTGCAGCCAGTGAACTTTGTGAAACATCAGTCAGTTCACCTGACCCCTACTTGAACTTTTACACATTCCCATTGTTCTTAGGATAATAACCCAAATCTTTCAGGTGGCCTATGAGGACTGCATAGTCTGGCCCCAACATACATGTCTATCCCCACTGTCTCTACTTCAGCCACAAGAGCCTCTCCGGGTCCCTCTTACTCACCATCATGCTGTCTCTGCACGTTCAGAACACTCTTCTCCACCCTCCATCTAGTCCATTCCAGATCTCAGCTCACTGCAGCATTATTTGTAATAGCAAATAATAAACCAAAGAAAAGGGGGGATATAACATTCCAAACAGTAAGGAAATGGATAATAGAATACCAGGCAGACATTTCATAATTGTAGATTAATGAAAAAAAATGTTGATGAGATATTAAGAGAAAACACTGTTACAGTAATGTATCATGTCATATTGTTGTAATATGTTTATACAAATATACACAGGTGAAAAAAAGTCTGGAAGACAATGCACCAAGCTATTGTCAACAGAAAAAACTCCAAATTCTGTAAAATAATTTAAAGAGGTTTATTCTAAGCCGAATATATGTGACTATAATCCAGGGAACATGGTCTCAAGAGGTCTTGAGAGAATGTGCCCAAGGCAGCCCAGTTAAAGTTTGGTTTTACACATTCATTGAGATAGGAATTACAGATAAAACCATAAGTCAATAACATGGAAGGTATACATTGGCTCAGCCAGAAAAGGTGGGACATCTCGAAGGGGGACTTACAAGTCATAGGTGGTTTTAGGGATTCTTTAGTTGGCAATTGGTTAAAATAGTTAAGCTTTGTCTAAAGACCTGGGGTCAGTAGAAAGAAATGCTTGCTTGAGTTAAGATAGGGATCTGCTAGGATGCTTGAGTTAACATAAGGGAGTCTTCTCTCTGTCATGTGATGCTATACTGGAATCAGGTTGGAAAGTAAGCCACATTATACTGGGTTAATAAAGACTCATTTAATGAGATTTTATCATTTGTAGGTGTGACTCACCAGGCC